ATAAGACAAAGGAAATTTATGTGCATTGCAGTAGAGATGGCCTCTGGACTCAGGTGGCCTGAGTTCAAATCCCAGACTACAGCTTAGTTATTGGGTCAGTTTAGACAAATTATGTAAAAACCAGTTTTCCCACCTGTTAAAAGAAAATGGAAATACTTATCTCTTCTTTATAAAGTTGCTAGGAATATTGAATGGACAGTAAATATTAAATGATACAGTAAAATTCTTAGAACAGTCTAAATCACATCATGTAAATATATAATATAGCTATGACCATCCATTATTGCTTTATTATTATGGTTATTATGGAAGTTTGGAATCTATGCTAATTAAACTCAAGTACAAAATGAGAGCCAATATACCCATTTCCCAGGTTTGTTGTAAGAAGTACATGGAACTAGTAAATGAATTTAAACTCTAGCTAGCTCATTCCATTAAAATGGACAGAGGACCAGAATAGACATTTTTCCAAGAAGACATGTAGATGACCAAGAGACACATAAAAAGATGCTCAACATTACTAATCATCAGAGAAATCCAAATCAAAACTACAATGAGATTCTGTTTTAAACTTGTCAGCATGCCTAAAATCAAAAACACAAGAAATACGTAAAATCAAAAACACAAGAAATAACAAGTTTTGGTAAAGGTGTGGAGAAAAATAAACCCTTATACACTCTTGGTGGGAATGTAAATTGGTTCAGCCATTGTGGCAAATATTGTAGAGGTCCCTCAAAAAATTTTAAAAAATAGAATTACCATAAAATCCAATAATTCCACTGCTGGGCATTTACCTTAAAAAAGGAAATCACCAATTCAAAAAGATAAATGTACCCCTATGTTTAGTGCAGCACTATTTACAATAGCCAAGATATGGAAGCCATAGTAAGTGGCTATCAATAGATGAATGGATAGGGACAATATGGCATATATATTATATAATAATGTAATACATATGATTTGCATATGCCATAGAATATTGTGCAGACATAAAAAAGAAAAACGGATGAGATCTTACCATTCAGGACAACATGGATGGACCTAGAGGGCATTATGCTAAGTGAAATAATTTAGACTGAGAAAGACAAATACCATATGATTTCACTCATGTGTGGAATCTTAAAAAAGAAGCAAGCAGATAACAAACAGATGAACAAAAAGCAGAGTCAAACCTATAATACAAAGAAAAAACTTTCAGAGGGGAGGAAGTAGAGGATAGGCCAAATGGGTGAAGGGGAGTGGGAGATACAGACTTCAAATTATAGAAATAAAAAATAAATTAAAAAATGGCCATACCACTTTATCTATAAACTGCTATGACATGGCCATTTCTACATTTAATCTCAGTTAGATGGCTTATCTCTAATGCTGGACTGTATGACCTTGGAGAGGAAGGACCCCATGAAATGTGTTTCTGTGTCCACTCAATGCACAGTATATGTCCTTCAGAGTTTAAGCTAATAAATATTGTTGGTGGACTCTTTGAATGACTTACTGATGATCAACTAAATCAATATGTTATTCTCTTAATTAAGTAAAACAGGTTTTGACTCCTTTTTAAAAAATAAAATTAAATGTTTATTTTGAGAGAGAGTCAGAGAGAGAGAGAGAGAGAGAGCAAGAGCGTGTGCACAAATGGGAGGGACAGAGAGAGGAGACACGGAATCTGAAGCAGGCTCCAGGCTCTGAACTGTCCTCACAGAGCCCAACACAGGACTTGTACCCACAAACCATGAGATCATGACCTGAGCCAAAGTTGGATACTTACTTTATCGAGCTACTCAGGTGCCCCAAGAGGTTTTGACTTCTATCACTACTTCAGCTAGATACCTCTGTTCTATCTGGGAAGACTGATAGTAATCGTTCTTTTATCCCCATTAATATGATGCCCATATAATCTTCATATGGTTGATCTGTCAAACCAAGATGCTCAACCCCATTCTACTTTTACAAGGTAAATCAAAATTAACTTCACCTAAAACAGTAAAGAAAAGATCAGTGGTACTAAATGAAATTTGTAGAACAAAAATCTTTGGAATATTTTCAGTAATAGAAATCATTTGAGTCCTAAAAGCTACTTAATGAATAAAGCATCTTGCTCATCATTAGTTTTATTTTGAAAGAGAAGTTTATCATTTTTCAACTACCCAGAGCATATATATCCCCCAGTACATACTTAAAAAGATATACTGGCAGCTTATATTTCCAGAGCTACCTAACATTCAAGAAAATTATTGATACCTATAATGATAAATAATAGTCCACCTGCAAAAGATACGTTATAAAATAACTGTAACTCAGTGTGTCTGGATGAAAGGTTGTAGGTTATTAAAAGGCAAGTTGTAGGTTATTAAAAGGCAAGAAACTATCCTACTTCTTCCCAGTCATCCGTTTTTAATTGTAAACTCACCAATGTCCTTTTCCTGTAAACATGTATAAGTTATTTATAAAATAGCCCCTGTTCTATTTTTTTTAATGTTTTATTTATTTCTGAGAGAGAGAGCGAGAGAGAGAGCGAGAGAGAGAGAGAGAGACAGCATAAGGAGGGGAGTGTTGGAGAGGGAGATACAGAATCTGAAGCAGGCTCCAGGCTCTGAGCTTACTGTCAGCATAGAGCCTGACGCGGGGCTCGATCCAAGAACTGTGAGATCATGATCTGAGCCAAAGTCGGATGCTTAACCAACTGAGCCACCCAGGCACCCCTAAAAGAGCCCTTGTTAATCTCTCAAACTAGCAGTGTCTTTGAAGCATATTAGGTATATAAAAATCATTAATGGATGATTTTTTTAAAATGAGTAGAAAAATACATTTGTGTCATGTGTGTGTGTGTGTGTGTATAAACTCATATCTAGAATTTATTAAGAATTCCTACCGTAAAAAGATATGAAAATGCGTACAACTCAGTAGAATGAAAGGGCAAAAGACTTGGACACTTCACAAACAGGATACCCAAATGGCCCTTAAGCAAAGAAAATGATGCTCAACATCACTCATTAAGGAAACGCAAATAAATAGCAAATGAGATACCACTAAACTCCACAAAAATGACAGCATTTAGAGATAAACACTACAAGCACTAGAATTACAATGGTAATGCAAGCCTGTCCTCATGGTGCCTGAAGTATTCAGAAATAAAAATCAGAAAATAGAAAGTCACTAAAAATATTGTTGATCAGTTTTATGATGAGGAAGTACTGAATGCTACAAAAAGCAAGATTGACATTATGTTCTTTTGCTGGAGAACTGTATGCTAGACAGTTCTAGACAGGGGTAGGCCTTTATCAAAGGAGGATCAAAACAAGAATGCACTTTGGAATTCTTAAGCCATTAAAATTTATGTGCCGCTCTCTAGTATTATTCCAGTAAGAGAGCCCTGATAATTTTAGCCCTCTACCAGATTTTTTTTTTTTAACTCAGCTCCTGTTGCAAAATGTGCTTAAGGAAGTGAAATGGCAGAATAATTACAGCAGTCCCCATCGTGGTAATTAGCTTGCATTCATGTCTCCCTGGTGCTTCCACCATGTATCTGGGTCTCCTTTGAATATCACCTTATTTTATATTCTTCTTAGAATCCTTATTGGTATGAACCATGATGTCATTGAGGTAAAGAGCATTTTGCAGAGAATGGAAAAAAATTTCTTTTATACTTTTAGAGTTTTTAATTTCTTTAATTAGATCAAGTTTCAGTCCATTCTTTTTTCTGCAGGAAAAGAAATCTCTACTTAGCAAATGTTTCTCAGAGTTTACAAAGGCTAATGGCCCAGTGAATGTTGTCTTCAAACCCAGGAATGCTTGGTCATGAGATCTAGAAAGGGTTGTAGAAGTCATTCATGTAACTATCTGGTCTTCCATACACCAAAGCCATTGAGTTGGTCTCTTCACTTCCCATCCAAACTGGCCACATGGCACTCTCAAAGCTGTCACATTGAAGAGTTCTCACATTTCCATGAGTCTCTGAAGGGGACTCTAAATTATTTATGGAGCACCAGTTACCTGTGCTTGTTCATTTATTTCTTGCATCTACCTTACAAAATGAACATCTTACCCTTTCTATGCAGATTAGAAAAAATGAAGCTCACAAGTTAAACTGCCTTGCCCAAGATCCCAAGAGCTAGTTCATGGTAGAGCTGTGATTCAAAACTATCTTATCCCAGCCTAATATTTCCATTACTACATGTTGCTTATAGAGAGGCCATCCCTTGAAAAATGTTGGTCACTTTCTTCACAATTAGAAAGTCCCTGGGGGGCGGGGGGGGGGGGCGGGGGGGGAAGGGAAAGGAAAGGAAGGGAAAGAAAGGAGGAAGGAAGGAAGGGAAAGGGAGAGGGGAAGGGAAAGAGAAAGGGTAAGGGAAAGGGAAGGAAGTCCCCTAAAGTAGATCCTTTCCTCCAGAATAGGCTTTGAGGAATGTGACTCTGTATATCTCAATATATTGAGTTTGGATGTTAGCACACACCAATGTGAGAATTTTTCTCTCTGAACTTTGATACTAGATTATCATGGTTCCCCACTCAGATTACATTGCTGAGATATTTAAATGTCCTTTAAAAAGTATGAATGAATTACAGATTTACATCAGATTTGCATAAGACATTTTGAACATCATTTGATTAAGGACATCTTAGGAAATTAAATATTACCTTTAAGCAATGAAGAACAAAATATGGAATGAAAAACAGAAAAATAAATGGAAAACAAATAGCAGAGCTTTTCTTTTCAAATAAAATGCTATGCACAATCTCAATATTTTAAACAAAAAAAAAAAAAAAAAAAAATGGAGCTGCTCTGTGGGGAGAAGGTGCTCTCTGTGTCCCTAGCTACTCCCTATCCTCAGCCCCAACAGCTTCTAGTATACTTCTCCAAACTCTTAGGTCTCTGTGGTCTAGAGTTTGAAAATTACCTACTAAATTCAAATATAACCTCAATTAGAGTGCTATAAAGTGTCTACTGATAACATCCACTGTTTCAATGTAAGTATTTAAAAATACACTCATTTTGGGGCGCCTGGGTGGCTTAGTCGGTTAAGCGTCCGACTTTCACTTAGGTCATGATCTCACGGTTCGTGGTCGTGGGTTCGAGCCCCACGTCAGGCTCTGTGCTGACTGCCAGCTCAGAGCCTGGAGCCTATTTCAGAGTCTGTATCTCCCTCTCTCTCTGACCCTCCCTGCTCATGCTGTCTCTCTCTCTCCTAGAAATAAATAAAAATATTTAAAATAAATAAATAAAAATAAAAATACACTCATTTTAAGGGTTTATTTTTATATGGATTTGTCAGTCATCACAGAAACAACATACAGCTTTGCTAACACACCTCTCTCTCTCTCTCTCTCTCTCTCCCCCTCTCCCTCTCCCTCTCCCTCTCCCTCTTCCCCTCCCTCTCCCTCTCCCTCTCAGTACTTGTGGTGTGTGCATGTGAGGAGGGAGGTGTATTTAACCTTACACTTCTGAAAGTTAGGATGTCAGGTCATAGCTGATCAGTTCAGTTACCCAAATCATTAATTCTCATAATTGTCATACTTGAAGTCTTAAATCATTATACAAGGGGCTTGAAGTCTTAAATCATTATACAAGGGGCATTCTCTTTGCCTTGCACTATGTATTTCTCTGACCTAAAACTAAAACTGCGATAATTTAACCCACATAAAGTCAACTGACCTTCCTACCTATAACCTCATTCCACAGTCTTGAGCTTTCACTAATGCTTAATTGATATCTGTGTCCTTTTTCCTGGCTGAAATCCCAAATCCTACAGTTTAGGACAAGACAGGAGTGTTCATAAACCATGCTCCCCATAGCCAGCAAGCTTTCAGCCTGCCCTTCTTTAAATCCAACTGGGTTTCTTTTCTTTTCTTCTTTTTTCTTTTCTTTTCTTCTTTTTTCTTTTCTTTTCTTTTCTTTTCCCTTCTTTTCTTTTCTTTTCCCTTCTTTTCTTTTCCCTTCTTTTCTTTTTAACTTCCTTCATTGTGAATACTTTTTGATCTGATGAATCTTTCTTCATAGGACAGAGTATAAAGAATATAAATTAACACTTTTTTCCTAAAAATAATTACTTTCAATTACTTAATTATTTGGGGAGATTTTCCCCTTCTCTAGACCTTAGTTTCCCTTCCTTACTCAGACATTATTGGTGTCTAGCTTGTGCCTAGACTGTCTTGTCCTGGTTTTAACATGAAGGAGATGTGTAGATCAACAGTTATAAATTTTGTATACATGCACCAAAGGGTATATAAGAAGTGTATCCTGTAGGAAATTTGTGAATTCTCTAAAATTATGTGTAAAATGTATATATTATACAAGCACATATACATTAATGGGGGGATCCAAAACTCTTATTATTTTTTTTAAATTAACATGTATTGATATCATCAGTTGACCCTAAGGGACACATCACAGTTATCTACAATAAAAAAAGTCTTTTGGGTCCCATTCCACACTTATAATTCAAATCTTTGGATGCAATGTGGAACAGAAACTTGTAATTTTAATACACTACCCTGGAGATTCTGCCCAGTTGTCCTTGGTTCATGAGCTAGTGAATTGTGAACCATTGATCAAAGACTATTGTTGTTATAGCAAAATGATAAGGTTCCAGATCTGTGTTTGGAGGCTGGAGTAACTGACATTATATATTTCTTTACGAATCTCAGATAAAAGATGCTTTTCTAAAAATAAAAATGTTTGTTTTGAGAGAGAGAGAGCAAGCGAGTGAGCAGGAGAGAAGCAGAGAGACTGGGGGGTGAAGGGAAGGAGATAGAGACAGAGAAGAGAGAGGGAGAGAGAGAGAGAGAGAGAGAGAATCCCAAATAGGCTCATGACAATGTGGAGCCCAATGCAGGGCTCCATCTCACAAACTGATCATGACCTGAGCTGAGACCAAGAGTCTGTTGCTTAACCAACTGAGCCACCCAGGCACCCCTCATATGAGATAATTTTTGATTCCTGAACACCCATATGGAAAAAAGTGGGCAGGGGCTATAATCCTTATCTATAAACCACCCCTTAGCACTCTGTATCTTTATTCATGATCTTTGAATCAAGTATGTTAAATGTAATTAATATTCAGTAAATATTTATTCAATAAATGAATGAATGAGTGACATGTGAAGAGAAACAAAATCCCAATTATATTAATGCTGTGATTAAAATTAATAGTCTGTCCTTTAAAAGACCCTTCTAAGGACAGATTTCCTATGCAGATGAGAATAAACAACATAAACATTTGTGATTGCATCTGAGATAAGGAAGGAATACTGGTTATAAAATGCTGAGCAGCAGTGATGAAAATCTTTTGTTGATGTTCCCAGCAAATAACTAATTAGTAGGTTGGTCAAGTTGTCTAGTCTTGGCTTCAGAAAACGGTTGGTCTCCTCATATCAGACGGAAGCAGTATGCTGGCATAGCGTCATCATATGTTTCTTTGGAATTAATCAGGAGGAATATCATTTGCTGCCATATCTTTTCTCTCTCTTTGGAGTTAAAAAGGAGAGATCTCCTGTATCCTTGGTTAGGTTTATTCCGAGGTATTTTATGGTTTTTTGTGCAATTGTGAATGGGATCAGTTTCTTGATTTCTCTTTCTGTTGCTTCATTTTTGGTGTATAAAAATGTAACCGATTTCTTTACGTTGATTTTGTACTCTGCAACTTGGCTGAATTCTTGGATCAGTTCTAGTAGGCTTCTGGTGGAGTCTGTTGGGTTTTCGATGTAGAGTATCACGTCATCTGCGAAGAGTGAAAGTTTGACTTCCTCTTTGCCAATTCTGATGCCTTTGATTTCCTTTTGTTGTCTGATGGCTGATGCTAGGACTTCCAGCACTATGTTAAACAACAGTGGTGAGAGTGGACATCCCTGTCGTGTTCCTGATCTCAGGTGGAAAGCTCTCAGTTTTTCCCCATTGAGGATGGTGTTAGCTGAAGGCTTCTCATAGATGGCTTTGATGATGTTTAAGTAGGTTCCTTCTATCCCATCTTTCTCTAGAGTCTTTATTAAGAAGGGATGCTGTATTTTGTCAAATGCTTTTTCTGCATCTATTGACAGGATCATATGGTTTTTATCTTTTCTTTTATTGATATGATGTATCACATTGATTGATTTGCGAATGTTGAACCAGCCCTGTAACCAAGGAAGAATCCCACTTGATCTTGGTGGATGATTCTTTTTATATGCTGCTGGATTTGTAAATGAAATATCAGATAAAGGGTTAATATCCAGAGTCTATAAGGAACTCACCAAACTACACGCCCGAAAAACAAACAACCCAGTGAAGAAATGGGCAGAAGACATGAACAGACACTTCTCCAAAGAGGACATCCAGATGGCCAACAGACACATGAAACGATGCTCAGCATCCCTCCTCATCAGGGAAATACAAATCAAAACCACACTGAGATACCACCTCACGCCAGTCAGAGTGGCTTAAATGAGCACATCAGAGAACTCTAGATGCTGGCGAGGATGTGGAGAAATGGGCACCCTCCTACACTGTTGGTGGGAATGTAAACTGGTACAGCCCCTCTGGAAAACAGTGTGGAGGTTCCTCAGGAAACTAACAATAGAACTCCCCTAGGACCCAGCAATAGCACTGCTAGGAATTTGCCCAAGGGATACAGGAGTGCTGAGGCATAGGAGCACATGTACCCCAATGTTCATAGCAGCACTCTCCACAATAGCTAAAACATGGAAAGAGCCTAAGTGTCCATCAACAGATGAATGGATCAAGAAGATGTGGTTTATCTATACCATGGAATACTACATGGCAATGAGAAAGAATGAAATCTGGCCATGTGTAGCAACATGGATGGACCTTGAGGGTGTTATGCTGAGCTAAATAAGTCAGGCAGAGAAGGACAAATATCATATGTTTGCACGTATAGGAGGATTAGGAGGAACTTGACGGAGGACCAAGGGGGAGAAGAAGGGCGGAAATGGTGGGGGAAAGGGAGAGAGGCAAACCATGAGAGACTCTTGAATGCTGACAAAAACTGAGGACTGATGGATGTGGGGGGGAGGGGGGGATGGGCATGGAGGAGGACACTTGTGGGGATGAGCACTGAGTGTTATGTGGAAACTAATTTGACAATAAACTATTTGTAAAAAAAAAAAAAAGAAAGGAGAGAGTAATGCCATTGGTTAATATAAACTATGTTATCACTGAGAAGGAACTGTATGACTTTGGGCAAATGATTTAAACAACTTAAGTCTCAGTTTCCTTATATGCAAGATAAGGAATATTTCATTTACCTTTCAGTTGTTGTATAGAAGATAATGTATGTAAATCAACCAAGCTCTGTGTCCTGAATAGAAATATTTATTATCTTCATTATTATAAATAAATTTATGATCAATGATGTATTATTTCTGTAAGTGAATTTAAATATTTCATAATATTTCATAAAATTTCATAAAATTTTCATAGAATTATAGGTACAGAGATAACTATTTGTCCCCTTCTTTTATCCTCACTAAAGATTTATGGTATGGGCAGAAGATGTGCCGATCCACCTATTTTATAACGAACTGTGGATTAAAACAGTTAATTGGCTTTCTCAAGTGATTTTTGCACACAAGCAATATGCCACACAACATTGCCTTTAATATATATCAAGCCGTTATGTTCAGTGTTCCTTGTGCTGGTATACTATAGTAGAGGGGACTGGGTGTCTGTCTGTGAACAAAGTTGAAAATAATATCATGCAATAGTTATTACAGAACAGATTTGGAAAAACAGAGAGCCATGCTGAAATGAAGAGGGAATGGAAGACAAATTGATTATTTTACATTAAGATGGTCATATGGCCAAATTTGGGTACCAGAGGGGAAAAGAATACAAAAGTATTTGGCGGGCTGCCAGAGAGATAGACTTATGTTCAAATCCAACTGTATACCATTAATTCTCTGATCCTGAACAAATCTCACTCCCTCAGGTTTAGTTTCTTTTGTCAAAGGCAAAATGGGGATAAGGAGCACCTACTTGATTGGTTCATTATGGAGTTTAAATTAGGTTATATATGTAGAGTAAATTAAGGGACCAGTAAGAGTTAATTATCTCTCTCATTACTATTTTAGTGAGTCATTCACTTCTCTTAGAAGAAGAGTTTGAGGTGACACTTTACTTTTTAAAAGCTTTGTGATTTAGGATAATTATTTTTTTTTGAAAATTTGCCTTTTGAGGAAAATATCAACCATAAGAACAAAAGCAACCATAGTAATGCCTGCCCTAACTACATTTTAAAAATGATAAATAGAATACAAATTAATGGATGTAAAATTGCTTTTAAAGAGATAAATCATTGTACATACTTAAGCAATTATAAAATATGTCTTAGCATGGAAGTATTTTATATATTTTTCTATTGTCCATGGCTCTGTGCTGCTAAGTTGAGTATAAACAGACTTGTGTTAAATGGGAACCCCTTGCTTTCACATAGATCCATGCAACTTATCAGTGAAAGTGCCCTTTGGAGAAACAATTTCCTTATCAAGCCTGAACACACCAGACCACCAAAATGGGAGCACAAATCACCTGTGCTGGGAAAGCTTTGCTAATTATTTTTAGTAATACTTACAGCTTCTTTATACTTGCAAAACATAATACATGTTCCGTGTAGAAAATTAGGGGGATACACACACGCACACACACACACAAAATCAACTGACCCCCTTCTAAAACCTAGAGAATATCTGTTTGCTCTAAATCTCCCTAGTCATTGTGAGAACACTCATGCTTAGCAAGTTCGTATGATTTTCCTTCATTCTCAAAGGCAACAAATCAACGGTAGAGCTGTCTCTCCATGGAGTACAGCCTTTTGTAATGTGTATATTATGTGCCCCAAATAATCTCAGATGTAAAACAGGTGGGCCTTTCAACAGCTCTGCAGTCATTGAGAGAAATCCTTTCTACCTCATTGGAACAGAAGAGTTCTATCTAGCCTTTTTGACTGCATTCACTCAGATCTCTTGGCTGGGTCATCTTAGAGAATATATCCAGCATGACGAGCCAAATATAGAAACAATAACTATGTTACGGCTAGGTTCAGAATTTGATGGTCATGTCTAGGAAATAATCTGTTTTTACTTATGCAGCTAACAAATTGACCTGATATTCAGCTAACTTATTTCATTTTAGACTCGTTCCAACTGTGCGAACTTAGGCATATCCCAGAAAAGGGCCTCAGCTTCACCAGCTACAAAATGAATTTATACAAAATGAGTAATCTCTCATTTTGGGATATTTTTGGCCATATAAGTGGAAAAAAAAAAAGCAGCAACTGTAACACTTTAACCAGTGAAGATATATATTCTCTGGATATAGGATAGATCCAAGGCTCAGACATATCTTCAGAGGCCCTACCATATTTCTGTTCTTGCAAGTCATGGTAACACCCCCTCATGATGGCACAATTTGTGCCTAAGAATCATTTCAAGACAGGGCAGCCACAGTCAGAAGTTTAATATCCTGTATGTAAGTCCCTTCTTAAAGAAAGGAAATTACTTCTAGGTACTTCTCAGCAGATTTTCTCTCAGGCCTTGATCACCAGGATTGAATCACATACTATTCCAAAAACAATTACTGATATGGCAAATACTTGTCTTAAGGTGTTACGCTCTTGGATTTACAAAGTTATGTAATTTTGGTCTCTAAAATGCTTGTAACTTTTCTAACAGATTACACGTTTTCTAGTAGAACACAAGAGCATTTTCCCTCACATTTACATCATATAATTTTTGAATTCTTAACCATCTAAGGACTATAAAGTGTTAGTTCATAGGTATTACACACTTTGTATCAGATTTACAAAACCATTGCAATTTTAAAACACTATGTTCACAAATCTGTGCAGAAGGAATAGTCTTATATATTGTTGGTGGTAATAAACTTAGTAAGACCTATACAGAAGCCCTTTGGCAATACCTTTCAAAATCTCAGTGTTGGGTATCTCTGACCCAGCCATTATAATTGCAGCAATTCATCCTAGAGGTACACGTTTACCTTGCAAATTGCTGTCAGTATCGAGATATTCCTTAAAAATATTTGTTGATAACCTACTGTTGACAAGGCCATGTTCAAGCTATTGGGGTATATTTTAGGAATTAAATAGGAAAACATCCCTGTCTTTATGGAGCTCAGAGATAGAGGCCATCCCTCACCCATAATACATGAGACTACTTTCGTAGCAAGAGAGAGCTTCTATAGGGAAATATACCTTATTCTTGCTTTAACAGATTTATAGCATTTTGTTACATAATATTCCATAATTTAATTCACTTTTTACTGAGAAAGAATAAAAATATGAGAAGGATTTGAGTGTTCTATGGCTATATTAATAAGTAGCATCTAAAAAAAATAAGCAAGCAAAAAAATTTTTTAAATAAAACCAGTTTTTTAACACAGTATGAGAAAGCTGCACCATTACAATATGGAGTGATCTCCAAGAGGTATGGTTAAACTAAAATTAGAGAAAACAGTATCTGTATTTGCTTCTATAATGCATACAATGTTTCTGGAGACAGAGATAAGAAATTAACTACTGTCTAAAAAGGTACAGGCAGGGGATCTGGGTATCTGTGGGAATAAAGGGAGAGAAGGACTTTTCACTATAAATGCATTCTTTGTGAGTATATGATATTTAAATATATATATTTATTGCTTAAATTAAAAATTTTAAATGTTTGTATTGTTAAAATATAAATTTGTTTTACTGTTACTGTTACTGAAAATCTCAACTTACATTTAGTAGCCATTGTTTTTCTTGCCTGATAAGAAGGGCTTTATTTTCTGAGTATTATTTCTACTAAGTTTAGTTCATTGAAATATTTTTGCCATAAACCAATATCTTACTGGTTTATGATGTCCTTTACTTAATAGGAACCTTCACTTTTAATCAAATCCAGAAATATCTTTAAGCTTCTGTGGATTTTGTTATTTAAAGTTTTGCTTAAGAACTCCCTCCAAAGTCCCACAGCATAAACACAATCAGGTATTTTCATGAACTTTATATTACTTTGAATCCATTTAAAATGGTTGTCATTTATTGTTTAAGAAACCGTTCCAAGTTCATTTTTCTCACGTATTTTACAAAACAATCGATTATTGACTCACTGGTGTGTGATGCCTCTTCTTGCCTTTGAGTGAGCACCAGAGTGATGGTTCGTCCACAGCTAATCCATCACTATAAAGCCCCCAGGATGCTCAGATCTTCCTCACCGTGTATAGTTTCTTTCCAGGCATTCTTTTTTTTTTTTTTTTTTTTTTAATTAAAAATCAGCTGAAGACTCTGGGGACCCTCTGTAGATCTCTGGTGCTCTGTCTGAGCAGCCCTTTCCTCTCCAGGAGTGTGTATGTAAGCACTTTGGCACGCCAAAATTCCAGCTTTGGCTCCTCAGCCCAGGCTGCATGTGAGCTCTCGTTTTCAGTGCCGTATTCTGGAAGGTCTCCAGGCAGAATGAGAGAGGCAGCCAAAGGGCTCACTTTGTTTTTCAGTTCCCAGGTATCTTGGTCCTGTCGTGCTTGATGGCCAAGGTCTGAAGAGCCTTGTTTCATATTTTTTCTATCTTTTTTCACTTGTTTCAGACAAGAGAATAAGTGCAGTTCCTATCATCCAACTTGTTTGGAAGCAGAAATGCGCTTTAATATTTCTTAATACATAGTAAGGTGGGTTTCCAACTGTGTTCTTACTTGTCTCTATATTCCTAGCTTTTGCTATACTTTTAGGACATTTTGCACAGTCCTCCCAAAACCCACTGGAATTTTGAACAAAATTATATCCAATTACTACATTAAATTGGGGGATGACCTCTTCGCAAGGTTAAGTAGTTATATCCATCCATATAATGAGAGCATTTGTATATTTAGGTCCTTTTGATCTTCTTTTAATTACTTTATGAGAACTATATATATTTTTACCTTCTTAAAGTTCTTGTCTATTCTGTTACTTAATTTTTTTTCTTAAATAGTTTACTATCAAGTTGGTTTCCATATAACACTCAGTGCTCATCCCAGCAAGTGCCTTCCCCCATGCCCATCATACCCATACCCCTCTCCCCCACCCCCGTCAGCCCTTAGTTTGTTCTCTCATGGTTTTCAAGAGTCTCTCATGGTTTGCCTGCCTCCCTCTCCCCCACTATTTTTCCCCTTATTCTCCCTCATTGTCCTCCATTACCTTCCTCCCAACCCACCTTCATGTGCAAACATATGGCATCTGTCCTTCTCTGCCTGACTTATTTCGCTCAGCATAACACCCTCTAGTTCCATCCATGTTGCTACACATGGCCAGATTTCATTCTTTCTCATTGCCATGTAGCATTCCATTGTATAAATATACAACATCTTCTTGATCTACTCATCAACTGATGAATACACTAAAATTAGAATGACACAGAGAAGGTTAACATGGCCCCTGGGTAAGGATGGCATGCAGATTTGTGAAATGTTCCATATTTTTCTATATTATATATTCAAAGTTGCTAAGAGACTAGATCTTAAGTGTTCTCACCACAAAAAAAGAGATGCTAATTATGTGATAAGATATATGTATTAGCTAACACTATAGTAGTAATTATATTGCACTATATAAATATATCAAATTAACATGGTATATACCTTAAACTTATCCAATGTTATATATGAATTATGTCCTATTATTTTTTAGTTAAAAATACATATTCCAAATGATTTATTCATCATTCTGTTACTCAAGATTCAAAGTTCGTAGAGAAAGATTGCAATTGGCTTTGCTTATATTTTCCACCATCCATGGATATGGTCAGGATACCTGGACTTATCATCTCACTAAGACTGATCACAAAGGTGGTGACACCATTTTTTCAAGGAAACTATTTCATTTTTGAAGAAGGAATAGGTTCTGGCACCACCCCAAACAAGAAGTGTTCAGTGGTCACACCTCATTGTTTGGTTAACCTTCATTTATTAATCAAGTTATTGTTTTAGAGTCATAACTTCATTTAAGGATGTATTAAATGTCCTCTTTCCACATTCCCATTGCATCTCACTTCTTCTCTGTGTCAACATTTACACATCACAGCACTGTATTCTTGTTATCTCCACAGAGGATGAGATACTTGGTAGCAGAAACTCTAACCTAACTCCTAACCCTAGCTATGTCTTCTCAGATATTAGCACATTTTACTTGGCACATGTGGGTGCTTAGTTATTATCTTGGGGAAGGAAAGGAGAGAGGGAGGGAAGGGGAAGAGGGGAAGGGAGAAGGAAGGAAAAGAAAAGAATGGAAAAAAAGAGAAGTGATGAAAATAGGAATTTAGAACAGAGCAAATGACAACTCAGCAGGATGGAGAAGGCTTGGAGTCATAAGCATCCAAACAACTAGGCTTCCCTCAGCATAATGCATTCCTTACGACAGAGGACCTTGATTAGACACAGTCCATAGACTGTGGAAGCACTCAAGTCTCTGAAAAGGAAATTGAACCTGGTGACATGTAAGGTCCTTTCAACAACAAGAACCTGTGACTAAATGATGAGTACTTGGTGGGTGGCTGGGGATGGAGGGGAAACACAATAGGAACAAATCCAAGGGAACAGCCCAATCTATACATAGGGGAAATCTGTGGTTAACATAGGTGTACTCATGTGCGCTCTAAGCCTTCTCTGATTTGTAAACACCTGTGAAGAAATAATAATTGTCTTCCAGTGGTTGCCTTAAAAGTTTGGTTCTCACTTTTTTCTTTTAATAGATGCACTAAAGACATTAGGAAGCTTACGGAATAAGCTAGCCTTGTGATTCTTTTTATGTGTACCTCAAGCCTTAAAAAAATAAAAGAATATGTTTGTCTAACTGAAAATTTCCTCAGACCTCTTGGGATCTTAGTTTTCGACATCAGCAAACCTTTGATATTTGGGTTTGTTTTGCCATTGGCAAAATACTACTTCTATTGCTAAAGGGATGCTGGGAACTTCAGATGGTCTTTTTGAAAGTGAGAAGATTTTAGAAACTATTATTTTTGTATTTGGTATAAATAAGTTAAGACTTTGCAGATTCATTTTTCTTTTGAAGCAGACATGCATATAATGCTTGCTGGTATAGATCTATATCAAATAGCATTTCAGTTTGTCTTAAATGAAAAACTTTTAAAATCAGGACTTTGAAGTGTTTCTTCAAATGCCAATTTTCCCAGAAGTTACCATCCTTTGGCTTGCTCTGATATACAAAACCTCATCATATATGACAGAAGACATTATCGAGAATTAAAACAAGATATTAACCCATTGTACAGGAGATAATCATTACAAAATAACCCCACAAAAACAGAAAAGATTAAGAACAAAACCCCACATGATATCAAGATACAAATTATAACTCTAACCATTTCTCTTTGTTAGATAACACATCCTAGTTAACATCTGCAGAATACTTAGATTTTAATCAGTATTCTAAGCATGGGTATTCTAGTCGTGTTCATATTTCCAATAGATAGGCAAAGACTCAAACATCGAGATGTTTACATGTGAAACCACAGCTTGGAGCCAGGCTGCAGAATGGAATTTCTGATTAGAAAGGACATGGAGGGGAGATGCACCTGGCAGGAAGTGCTGTATATTGATATCCCCTCTTTCTTTAGCATGGCTTGAAGAGGGAGTTACAAGACCTAGACAAAGGCTAAAGTCACAGTCTTCATTCATGAATCATTTCTTGGTTAGCTGCTGTAAGAAAGAAGAAATAAATTTCCAAGGGTACCAGTTATGTCAGTGTGTGTGAGTGTGTGTGTTGTATATGTGTGTAGTGCTGATTATAACTAGAAAGCATTCTGCAAAGTAGTTTCAGGTTTATTCTCTTTTCTTATCCTGAAACTTACCCTGAGAAACAAGATGGACCTATTTTACAGATAAACATAAAGAGGTATGTTGTGGCTAAAAGGCGTACCTGAGGTGATTTGTCTAGTTTTTAGAGTAGCTTAAACAGAAAACCACATTCTCCTCCCACAGACTTGTCACTGAGCCTCAGTTTTTTCATGTCTGTAGGATCTTACAGATTTTTGAAAGATTTAATGAGAATACATATAAATGCATGGCACATTCTACGTGCTCCAAAAAGTGGCTCAAAAAAATCTTAGGCTTTTTCTAGGCTTTTCCATTACATCAGATTGTATTTTCTAGAACAATTGAGACTTGTTGGATCCATGTAGGCATTTCCTTTGAATGTACTCTCCATTTTTTGTACTTGCCACACTGGGTAATCACATCAGTTAAGCCTTTCTTCAGGGGATGTCTTGTCCTGCTGCCACCATTACTACTGGTACAGGCCAGCCATCCGCTTGCAGAGAGAAAAATGTGCCCATGAATACATACATTCTGCATATAAACAAACAATGGGCAGGAAGGAAGAGTCAGCAGAAGAGAAATGGCCACTGCCCTTTTGTCGTTTTTCTCTGGCCGACCAGGTAGTAGGTTTGATTGTGGAGTGATTGCAGCTCGTTCTTTTAGGAAAGAACGAGGTGGAGGGAGGGGCATGTAAGCTGTCTATTGTAGATTTGCATAATTAAGTTTGTATTTAACCTGCTGCTGAATCTAATTATCACTCAAGTGAGCAAACATCTTGGTTTTTCAGGGCTGAGGAGTTTCCTGGGATGTGGCACTTGCAGCACTTAAAACAGAAAAGTCTCTGGTAAACTGAGCCTAGTGGTCATTCTGTGCCTTTCCCAGTTTGTTAAAAACTATAAATATGATACTTCAGGCCCCCTCGGGAAGCTCTGCAGCTGCTTCTGCTGGGCAGCTTTAGCCTAACCTTCTAGAAGCCCAACATAGACTCATCTGCATAAAATGATTGGTTTCCTGAGTTACATTCTTCTTACTCACACCCTCACAGAATGTACAGGGAGAAAAAGAGTTAATGAATAGATATTTATAATCTCATTTAAATTTTTCTCCCATATTTTTCCTTAAACTTTGGCACCTGCTACCACATCTCTGCTCGCAGAAAACAAAAGGAATCAAAAAGAGCAAACAAATGTTAATGAGAAAACTCAGAAGCAGCTGAGATGCTTAGTTTTCAACAGCTTTCTTTTTCCATAAACATGTGGACACATAATTTGGATTTTCTCCCACATGTTTCTTACTTTTTTTTTTGGTAGTAAACTCATTTTTACTTACAGTCAACTAGAAAAGAAAAGGATAAAAATAATACTGATAAGTGCTAAGGTTTATTGAGTAACTGCTGTACACAAGGCACTAGATTTTTAATCAGATTAATTAATTGCTCTGTGGCAGTTTTTGGAATCAGGGGATCACATCCATTTTACACTTGAGCAAAATGAGGCATAAAGAAGTAAAGCAACTTCCCCAAGTTTAATCAAACAGCTGGTAAAAAAAAAAAAAAAACACAAAAAAGAAAAGGAAAGGAAAGGAAAGAAAAAAGAACTATGATTTTGAGTCCTAAGTCTTCAGTGATTAATCTCAAGAGCTTGTGCTACAGTACACTTCACAGGTGACCACTTGACCATCATTATCTTCAGGCCCTTGACCACTTGCACGACTATGAGGACCGGTGGCCTGACAAAAACTATCTGCATCTAACTCTTTTGAGTCTTCAGACTTTGAAAACTATGTGCATTTTTCCTCTATGCCTGCAAACTCTCAAAAGATACAGAGTGTGAAGAATACCAAGGTTTCCCATCATTCTCACCCTCCCCCATATTTCTTGAAAAATAAAAATCCCAAAGAAACCTAAAATATACAGTGGAAGTCAAATTATAAAATACATTTCTTCTGGGACATTGTCTGGTACCCCATGAAGGACACAGTGAAAAGGACATATAAACATCAGAATCAGACAGCCTTAGGGTTAAGTGTCTAATGATGAGTGTTTTGGGGCCACATCAACCAGAGGAAGTTATTAACCTTTGCCAAGTCTCAGTTTCCTCATTTGTAAAATGGAGATCACAGTAGGTGCCGTGGCCTCTCTTCTGTCGAGCCGTCCATTTCCCACCTCCTGGTTTTGCCCTTATTGCTTACCACTCTATTTATGATCAAGATAGTTGTGGAGAATTCTTACTCCTGAAAAGAGCTTCTGTCTTGAGCCCTTATGGATGTTCTCTGTCCTGGTAAGAAAATGGAGCGGAAAGTAACATTTAGTGAGGGCCTGTCACCATATGTCACATGCTGTAAAACTATATCATTTCACAGAATCCTCACAACACTCATGATATTCATTTAGTTTTACATGACAGACGTTCGGCTACAGTGGTATATAAGCAAGTGGCAATCTAAATATTCTCCTGCAAGCTTTTCAGGGCTGGGACACTGATTCCAGGACTCTTCGGAGGTGCGATATGACTGCTCAGTCTCCATAATTGCCTCTGTGTTCCAGACAAGAAGAAAGAGAATATCAAAGAGCAAAGGGTGAATGCCAGCTGAATCCGTCTGCACTTGAAAAATTTTCTCCAAAGCTCCAAGGAGCGACTTTCATTTATATCGCATCATTACGAATTGTGTCACAAACTGCAAAGAATGACTAGGAAATTTGCTTATTTAAGCTGGGCATCTGTCCACCCTAAACTTAATTAGGGAGTTATTAGCAAAGAGGAAGATGAAAAATTGACACTGAGGAAGCTACCAGAAATGTCCGTAGCATCATTCTCCAAATTCAGCGAGCATGCAGTGATTTTAATTATCTGTGTTTGCCTCTTTCAGAGAGATTAAGAAGGCAAGCCCAGGTGACACAGTACAGCTCACCTCTGTCACCTCTCTTCACTATTACATCCTTTTGAAGGGCCATTGTCCCTAACAAGAATGTTCCTTCCTGAAGAAGTTGAAAGAGAAGCACCTTACATATTTTTGCTTCAATATCATGGATGATTTGGAAATGGAATTTTGTGGGTACCTTATATGTGTCAGGCACCATTCCAGGTAGTTACTTTCCCTGATAAGGATCCCCTACCTCAGAAAAGGTAGTCCATCTTTCCATAGCTCCATAGCTAAGAACTGGAAGACTGGGCCTCATTAGCAGGTGGGTCAAGTCCCTTCTCTCTGTATTACATAGTGTAGCCAACCAAGAATACCTAAAATTTAGTAGAAGGAATCTCAAAGACAGAACTGCCTGGAAGACATATAATTACAGGGACTTTACACAGTAGACTCACATCCTGGCTGGGTGTGGATGTTTTTAATTGTGGCCCTGAATCAGAACAGGAAGTGTGTAACAACAAAAGCTTTTATCCCTTTTCTAGTTTGTATTGTTATAGAAGCCCAGTAATAAAAAATCCTAACCACAATATAGGTCACAGTATATTTCATGCATATTATCTCTTCTTGGTTCTTCTAACAACCCCAAACAGTGGACCGTGCAGGAACTTAACCCTTGTGTTTGAATGAAGAAGTGGTCATTCAGAGTGTTTAATGCAAAAGTAATAGATGATGTCACAGCCTTGAACCTATGCCTTTGAATATTACCTCTCATATTCCTTCTATAAACTTATTCTCCCAGGTACTTCCTAAAGGAGCTTTCAGAAGGAATATAAAGTGAAATTGCACTTTGTGAAAAACAGATCTTTTGTTAAGAAGCATCTAAATTAATATCTAATTTCCTTGTCAATCTTGTATCAGGTATTATTAAAAAACACTCATCTATTTTTCTTTTTTCTTGAAAGAAATTAGTAATCAACTTATTTAGGAAAAAATATTATGCACTAACAAACCACTTGACATTTTCTTAGAATAATTTTCTGCTGAAATTAGTGCCATTATATTGAAATAATAATTAATAGTTAATTGGAATTTATGTCAAACATTTTTTTAATGTGCAACATATTGGAGGAAAAAAGTCTAATGATCAAATCATCATCTTTGTTACCATCATTATTGACAGAGATTTGTTGAGCACCTACTATAAAATATTGTAGCACACCATGGGAATAAAAACATGTAAGTTGATTAGAATATAGGTTTCCCTGAAAGCCATGCTGATTACAGTGCTTTGCATGTATCATGTGTCCAAATATCAATTGACCTGACAAATAAATAAAGGAAGAGTGAAAAGAAGGTTATAATCATTCATTTGGGGAGAAAGCCTTTCTTCCTTTTCTAGTGTTACAGTAGCCTGACAGAAAATATACCTAACAGGAGGCATAGAGACTTTAACCCTTCCTTTGCACCTAGCACAGTATATAGCAATTGGGAGTGGAAACAGGAAGTTGTTGCTGGATGAATGAATGGATGGATATATATTTCAATACCATTATAGTGCCTCCTTCATCTCCTTCCTGCCCAAGGCTCTTTGCTCTCAGAACTCTTCCATATTTTATCACATGTGCCCGGACAAAAGATATTGACACTAGCCCTTCTCAATATGACTTCCTTCTAACAGTCTGTTCTTGCTTTCACATGCTGCTCTCGGTCCTGTTGACCCACTTGGGCAAGAGAACTGGAAAGCAGATAGCATCATAAGGAAGCACTGGTGTGTTGAAAGGATGGGCATGTCATTCTACAAAGTTGCTGGTTCCTCACTCTTCCTCAACCCTCTGCCTCCCCACCTACCCTAAAAGAAACCTTTTGTCCTTCCCTAATTAGTTATGGATAAGAAAAGTAGATATGCTCCTTTTGTGGTCTTTAAAGAATTAATCCCTCATGAAATCTCTTACTGTGGGATAAAAACAAAAGGTTGCAAGCTAATTACCATCCTCATTATTAGAATCCGGGCATGGAAAAATGGCTTCTTCTGGGATTCCTTTGCTTTCTTTGTCCAGGACTAAATCTCAGAGCAGGAAAGTGTTGGCATAGTAATATATTTCAACACTAAAGAAGATAATGAGCAATACCAGGTGATTAGAACAGAAACTGCAGGTGATACAGAGCAATTTGGTAGAAACTTTGACTTCTCCTAACTCTTCAGAAAAACAAACCATTAAGATGTTGTGGGACATTTTAAGTATAATCAAGGACGCCTTAATTTGAGTTTGAAAGCTGACAATTAAATCACTGTGAATAAGTAAAGACACATATATTATCCTAAGAGGAATCATAAATGTAAACGTAAAGGGGACCTTAGGAACTGCAGATCTCATCAGCCTGCTAAGTGACCCACCCAAGGCCATGCAGGAAGATTGCACACACACATATACATGCATGTGTATGTAATCATTATTCCTTAGAATAATACTATGAGAAAGGTACTGCCAACCTCCCATTTCATCACTTCGTAGACTCACATATTTTGATACTTTAACATCTTTGAATTTGGAATGGATCTTCAATGTCTTAAAATCTCCTTGGACAACTATTCATGTTCTTCCAGTGAAGTTTGCTTACAGTAGTCACATGGGGACATTATCAACCTGAGCCCACTTTATATTTTCTGCTTGAGAGGTTTTCATTTTTGTTTTTCTTTTATCTTTTTGCTAGGGGTAGACGTTTGCTGCCATTATAGATCTGGAAGGCAAGCTGGCCTGAACACTTGCGGTTCAAGTTTTCAAGAGAAATCCCCACCCCCCACCAAGACTGGGACCTGCACACTTCCTAGTTGCCTCTCATGATTTCCCCTGCACCAAGTTCATAGCCAGAGACTCACGTGTGGGTCTTCTATCAGACTCCTTAGGTTGACATTTATTTTCTCTTAGTGCAACGTAAGATGCCACACATTCCGAAAGGGCAGCAATATTATCCCTCTTATGTCCACGAAGAAACTGAGGCTTAGAGAAGTTAAGCAATTTACACAACACTAAAAAATATCATTGGGATCCAAACCCATTTCTTCCTGATTCTCTGTGCTTTCTGGCACACCACCCTTTATGAAAACACAATTGTGTAACTTTGAGGGAAAACAATCTCCTCTTTGTGTGTTGATTTTCTCACAGAAGAAATGAAAATGAGTTGAGTAAAAGAATCTAGAATGGAAGTAACATTTGTTACATATATATATATATATAAAACACAGGTGCCTAACAGTTAACTTTCATTTAATCATTAATTCAATTTACAGGTGATGAAATTAAGACAGATGGGTAGAGAAACATGTCCGGTATCACAAATAAAGTTAGTGGTAGAGTTGAGAGTTGCATGCCATTAATCCTGACTCATGAGCTGTGTTGAGCAGTGCTTGTTCTCTGAACTCTTGGTATGGTATATTTCCCTATGAGATACAGCTCCTTCCTGCAAAGTGTGATTGTCACAGTAAACTCCTTCCTGCAATGTTTGCTTGTCACAGTAATATTGTTGAGGGGTTCCCTGTTGCACATTATCAATGTGTATTGTCCTTTCTGCATATGGCTTGTTGGCTATTAGTGACCACTTCTGTCCCCCCAGATAGATTTGGCCACACCAGCAGAGCCTAGACAGAAGGACAGAAGAATCCACAGGAAGACAGATGGTAGGGTTAGCTCCCAGCCACCTGCCGTAGTAATCATAGGCTTTGCCCTTTCTGCTGCACCATAAATCCCGGCCACTACTGCACAGGGCCAGGATTTAAGGTCCTGACGTTTGGGAGCTCTTTGACTTCTTGGTCTCTGCCTCCTACAGATATATACAACTCTGGGAGCTTCTCTCCAGATTTTTTTCTGTAGCAGCTTTTCTTCCCATCTAAAAGTTAGAAAATGTCTATACTGGCATTTTAGAACCTGCTTAAGAAATAGCTTGATTCATTGCATCCACCCTTACTCATGGATGTGTTCTACCCTTAGCCAGGCCAAGTCCCAGGCATGCTGCCATTGGAAACAGAGAGCTTAAAAAAAAGAGGCCAGGGGTATAGGGCGCCTGGGTGGCTCAGTTGGTTGAGCATCTGACTTCGGCTCAGGTCATGATCTCATGGTTCGTGGGTTCGAGCCCCGTGTCAGGCTCTGTGCTGACAGCTAGCTCAGAGCCTGGAGCCTGTTTCAGATTCTG